CGAAGCCGCTCTTTGTCTGGCCGCCTAATTGCCGGCGGACAGGATGGATGGCGGGACCGACAGCCGCGGAATCCCTAATAAAGGCCGCGGCCGCCGGGGAGGGAGAACGGGAAGGAGGGGGAGCAAGAAGGAAGGGATGGAAGGAGGTGGGAGGAAGCACCCGGCTGCGGCCGCCGAATCAGAGCCGTTACGCGCGGCGCACACTCGAGACAGGCCAGCCTAGGGTTCAGGACCAGGAGTCCCGGGTCGACATGGGTCCGAGCGCAGTGTGTGTGGGGCTTGTTAAGTCTCCTGCTTGTTGGAGAAAAGAACTAGGGGCCCCAGTAAAAAGAGCATCGTAAGGCCGGCGCTTGGGGCTGCCTCCTGGGCTCTGGGTCCTCAACCGCAGGCATCCCCCCTCCTCTGCTCACCTGTCGGCCTCCCAGCGCGGGATCCAACATCCCAGCGGAGAAATGAGGGTCTGACAGCTGCCTGTGCTGCCGCTCGCTACATTTCATTAACTGGAGGCTGGAGCGGAAGGCCGGTGGAGGCGGGGGGAGGGGGGGGGTCTCAAAAATATGTGAAGAGCGAGGCTAGGGCGAGGAGCCACACCTGGCCGGGGTCAAGAGCTCTGGAAGCAAATCAGCAGCGCTCTGTGGCCTGACAGACACCTTGGAAGCAATCTCTACCCACTCCCTGTGGAGCCAGGAGCCAGTCCTCTGCCCCGTGGGTGCGGGCATGACCCTTGGAACCCAAGACTGCACGGAGCTACGTACGGTACCAGAGGCTCCTGCGGGAGAGGAGCGGAAGCCCTAGGCCCGGTGGTGCACTCGCCCTTTAGCCCGGCGACTGAGGCCTGTCTGGCCTCTGTGCAAGGGGGTAAAGTGCATGCAGGCTCTTGGTCTGTGACTGCTTTCCCACCGGGCATGGGAAAAGGAGAAAAGTCCTAAGCCCTCTCTGCCAACTCACGGCCCTTTCTCCTCTTGAGCACATTTTCCTCCCATTCGCTTCATTTCCTTCTGTGCCCTCTCCTCTTCCACCTGAACAGCTCTACTCCACAGCTAACTTCAGCCCACATCCCTTAGCTAGCAATTGAGCACCTGTTGGCTGTCAGGCTTCATAGTACTAGGCTTGGAAGATGTGGGACACGCTGAGCCAAGGCCCTGCCTCGTTGGCTTCACACACAGGTCTCTCCTGAGACGCATCTCGATCTCACTCCCCACTTATGCTTCTCTCACCCTTCCACTGCCTCAAGTGCCATTTCTCTTCTCTTCTCTTTCTCAAGACACTGAGAAGGAAGCCAGGAGATCATAAGTCTGGTTCTGTCACTTTCAGGGTGATACAGGAGAAGCCATTTCTCCTTTTGGGGCCCCAGTTTCCTCATCTGTAAAATGGAGACAATATAGCCACCATTCAGGGGTGCTGCAAGGATGCAATGAGAACTTGCATGTAAAAGCCCTAACATACAGTAAGCACTCAATAATGTTATTTCCTTTTCCATGCTATCGGGTGGATAAAGTTCCTTTCTCTTCATACTAGGGGTTTTGTATCAGGCAACCCAGGCTGTTTCCACTTCTGTATGATCTTAGATGTGGGAACCGAAAGCCAGAGTGTGTGTGTATGGGGCAGGAAGGGAGGAGAACCACATTATGAATGATCCTGAAAGGTGAGGAAGGAAAGAGTACAAGAAAAAAAAAAAAATGCTTCCTTAGATCTTAATGGAAGATCAGCCAGCTAGTCTCTCTCCTCTTACAGACAAGGAAACTGAGGCTTGTGGAGGTTTCACTGCAAGTGACAGGGGCAGATCACACTCCCAGGATCTTTCCTCCTGTTAGCCCTCTATTGCTCATTTCCTCACCTGCTTTCTTCCCTTGAGGGCATCTGGGTCAGTGACAAGGAGTGTGGGAGAACGAACAAAAGGAGAGAATCTTTAAGAAGCCAGGACCTTTCTGCTAGACTTCATAAAATTTTAACATGAAAACTTCCTCAGAGTAGAAGGCACACATCACATGCAAATCATATGCTAATCACATGCTAATCCAAAGTCTGGTCTTCAAAACTCTGAGGCACACTTGGCTGTAAACGCTGGGGGAAATTCTTGGGAGACTCCTGGTTTCCAGGAAAGGAGAGATAGGGATGGGATCCATTAGGGTGAAGTTATGGACTTAGGATTCATTTTAGAATTGGAAAAGAGTCAAGTGTATAATTCGGGGTTAGGGTCAGGGCTAGTGCTGAGTCAAGGGATGAGGTTAAGGCAGGATTTAGGCTGGGCCGCGCTTATAAATAGGAGAGCCTATGAGACTCCTTAAAGGCTTCCTCTCCCCTTCCTTCCCGTATCAGCTTTGTCTCCCACCTCCACTGCTCCTTCTATATCCTGCAACACATCTTTCTCTGCCTACTTCCCATTCCCAACCACACCACCTTCCTGGGTCCTACCCGTTTGGCTGCCTGAGGAGCTCTGGGTAAATTGTCCTAGACCCAAGCTTGGGCCTCAGCATTTCCTTTTGAGCTCAGATACTTGGCTTCTGGCCCCAGGAACACCGACTGGCCTTGACCCTACCGAGGTCTCTTCTTGGCCTAATGTGACAGCTGCAGGGGAAGCAATAAGGACCTGGTGAGCTGGCAGCTTTATTTCAGAGTGTGGGGAAAGAACAACAGAACATGAATAAATTCATAGAGCTGGCCCCTCGCTCCCTGTGAGCCAAGCCCGCTCTCCCCACCATACACATTCGCTGCTGCCTGCAGCCCTGCTGGTCACCGCAGTTCACAGTCTGGGCTGGGGATAGGAGGAGAAGGGAAGCTCCAGAGAGAAGAGAGCTGGGACCCGAAAGGGGCCGAAGTGAGGGGCTCAAAAAGAGGGCCTTGGTGAGTAGGAGAGTGGGGTGGGGATCGGGCTGAGCAAGAGGACCTCTGGTGAGTGGAGGGAGAGGGGAGGAGGAAGGAGCGGCGTGGCAGGACCTGGGGTTGATGGGGCTTGAGGATCAGGCAGGGGAGGCTGATATCAGCTCAGGCCTTCTCTCTCCTCTCTGATCCATCCATCATCCAGCCTGGGGGAGCAGATCCGGAATTAGACATGCACAGGGCCGACATGGCCCTCAGCCCCCCGAGGAAGACAAATGGCGACAAAGACCTTGAATAAAATTTGTATTTATGGTTGGAGGAGGCCCCTCCCCCACCTACTGCCAATTCTTTCTCTCCTAACCCTTTCAAGCACGTAGGGGCCTCCCTCTACACAGGCCCAGCCTCACCAAACCGCCTTTTCCCTGCATCATTATGGGCTAAGAGATGCAGAGAAGGGGTACAGGAAACGAGAGGTGACGAAATCACCTTCCACCCAATAATCATGCTCTGGTATGCCTTGTGCCCTCCATTTTTCACATCGTATTTCTATACACTATAGTCCTAGCCGATCCTAGTCTCTAAGAGGTCCTTTGCAGCTGTTCACATCCAGGGTCTCCAAATATCCCCACTTTGCCAGTTGTGGAGCCCCTTCTCCAAATCTCTGGCCCTGGGGTCTCTATGAGCAAGAAGTTTCCCCCAGAGGGGCCAGACCCTAAGAAAGAATGTAACCACTAGTTTTTTCTCTGGACTCTGGACCCGTATAGAGAGGGATCCGTCAAAGCTGCGTTCCCTCTTGGTCACCTGGAATAGCAGACACAATCACCTCTCACAGGAGGGTGCCTAGCACTCAATCTGCATTTGGGTTAGGTAATTTGCATAACCAACTTCAAATCTCTTCTCTAAACATTTTTGTGTGGGGGCCAGCTTCTCTGGGTTTCCTTGTAACCACAGACCTCTGAGGAAGGGAGGACAGTGGCAGAGGTCTAGGGGCTAGATAAAGCCTGGCGCTAGGGCAGGGCTGAAGCTGACCAGGGCTAGGCAGTGCAAGTGAGTCAAGAGCTTCCTTCTGACTCTTTTCCCCAGTAGACTCTCTACTCTAGTTCCGAGATAGAAGCGATGGCACTCATAGGGTCTCACATTCAAGGATTAAGAGGAAGACAAATACAAAACCTTCCTTCAAATAGCCCTCACACTTACACACAAAGACAATGCACAATTCACAATCCCACTCACCCAGGGACATATTAGGCTAGGGTCCCATGGCCATATCCACACTTGCAGACCACTGTCACAATGCACAGGCCCAGAGCCTACCACTATGCTGAAGGAACGCCCCGCCCCCGCATTTTCCCCACAGTTGATATGTCACATTGGAGTCCGAACACGGACCTGGGTGTCTCTCTGCAGCGCGCCATTTACATTTCTCTCTCTATCTGTCAACCTGTCTTGGCTCCCGTCTCTCTCTCTCCGTCTCTGTCTCTCCCTCTCCCCCTCTGGGGCTGTCAGTCTCTTTTCCAAGCGTTGTCTCTGTCTCTGTGTCTCTATCTGGTTTTCCCTCTCTTTGATTTCTGTCGCTCCTTCTCTGCTTTTCTGTCAGTTTCCTCTTCCCTCCCACAGGCTGGTCTGTTTTCTCACTCTCTGTTGTTCCTTCACTCTCTCGGCTGCTCTGCCTCCCCCCGCAAACACACACTGGGGTCGAGGGTAGGGATGGCTGGAGATTTGCCTTTTCCAATTCAGGCCAACATGTACCCGTTGAACTCTTTACCATATGTTATTTGGTTATGGGTACTGAGGGGTGTGGAATGGTGAATTTCTCTTTTCTCCCCCTTCTTGTTTGTTGGATTTCATTTTCCTTTTTCTTTCTTTTTTCTTTTTTTTGGCGGGGAGGAAGGGGCTCTTTTTAGCTCAGGAATACACTTCTGTCTTCTCTGTGTATTCTCTGGGCTGTGGGAATACCCAACTCCGGGTAGAGGGTGAAAGTAAGGATAGGTTGGGGTATAGTGAACCCCTGCATAATAAGGTTCAGAGCCTGGTAGCAACCACGAGGCTGGGGGCCCGAGGGTGGGGGCCGCTGCCGGCCCCGCCCCCGAGCTTTCCTCTTTGGACGCCAGGGGTCGCTCCACCCCCAGCCGCTTATAGCGGCTCCCGGCGCTCGGCTGCTCACACCACCCGCACCGCGCCCTGGGAGGGAGGGGTGGAAGGTTAGGGACGCAGAGAGGGAGAGCGCTATCAGCAGAGAGACGCGGGGCCAGGGCTCTAGCAGGGGCTGGGGCCTCAGCTGGGGTAGCAAAGCGGGTCAATGCTCTCCAAGAGCCGGAGCGCAAACCTACAAGGAGGTCCAGTCCGGTGAGCACTACCCGAAGCGCAGAGCCTGGGACGTCCAGAGCGCGGAGAGTAGTCCCCACTCCAGCGAGGAGCGATCCGTCTGGGTAGCTGGGGATCTAGGCGCCGCCATCCTTGAGAAAGCAGCTGTCCCGAGAGCAAGCATCCTAGATCTGTAAGAAACCAGCCGTCCGAGAAGCCGCAGATGTCAGGTGCCCGGGAACGTTAGGCTGAACAGGAGGGTAATAGAGGACCACAGGCTCTGAACCGTCGGGAGCTACCCCTGGCTCGACCCACGCGGGGACCTCCGCCTTGACGGAAGGTTTGGGGAACGGCACCTCTGAGGCGGGAACCCACAGAGGAGGGGGGGTCGGGCGCAGCCGTCGGGGGGGGAGGGTTCCGACCCAGGACCGAGCCCGGTCACCGCCTCCGGGGCTCGCAGAAAGCCCTGGGCCTCCGCCGCCATTGCGCCCAAAAGTGAGGAAGACCTGCTGGCCCTGGCTGCATCGCGTCTGAGCCGCCGCAAGCGGGTAGCGGGCGCGGCCGTCGGGGTGGCCATGGTGCTGCTTCTGCTGGTGGCTATTCCGCTGCTGGTGCACAGCTCCCGCGGGCCGGCTCACTACGAGATGCTGGGTCGCTGTCGCATGGTGTGCGACCCACATGGACCCCGAGGCCCAGGACCCGACGGCGCGCCCGTTTCGGTGCCCCCCTTCCCACCGGGCTCCAAGGGAGAGGTGGGCCGGCGTGGGAAGGCAGGTCTGCGAGGGCCCCCGGGACCACCAGGTCCCAGAGGGCCTCCAGGAGAGCCCGGCAGGCCAGGTCTTCCGGGCCCTCCAGGCCCGGGCCCCGGCGGGGTGGCGGCCCCTGTCGGCTACGTGCCTCGCATTGCCTTCTATGCGGGCTTGCGGCGGCCACACGAAGGTTATGAGGTGCTGCGTTTTGATGACGTGGTGACTAACGTGGGCAACGCTTACGAGGCGGCCAGCGGCAAGTTCACCTGCCCTATGCCGGGTGTCTACTTCTTCGCTTACCATGTGCTTATGCGCGGCGGCGACGGCACGAGCATGTGGGCCGACCTGATGAAAAATGGACAGGTGAGATGACCATTTCCCACCTAGCCCCAGATCCGCGGGATCGCTTTGTAAATCTTCCTGCACTCATTACGCAACCCGATCCCCTTCCCCAAACAGCGTCACTG